TTCGGTTAATAGGGGACACCAGAGATCTTGATTAATGAGGAGAAAGTGGATGAATTGATAGCATACCATGATCACTGTTAATAACTCTGTCGAATGAATTGAGGGAGAGATAATCGGACGGAGGTTACGTTTCATACCCCAGCAAGAAAGAACTTGTGACAACATATATTAGGCTTCATCTTCTTCTCTCTGCATAATTAGCCTACTAAGAAAGTGATAAGCTCAGAGTACCATTGGCATTTGTAGGACAGAAGAACAGGATAACATTTGACAGGAGGAAGCAAAATGAAAGTGGCTAGAGAAGAAGATGGTTAGGAGTAAATACTTTGTGCCGAAAGAATAATTCTATATTAAATAATGTATTCAGCTTAATAGCAGTACGTTGTAGTTTGGATACATTAGTAATATTTACATTGCTGAAAATAATGTAATTAAACAATTATCATAACATTTTCTTTGTCGACTTTTTGTATTAAAGCTTAAAAGCCAATCTAAAGTACAAACAGTGCAAAAGCCCAACAGTTTACAATTGCATTCAGCCTAATGAAGCCTGCAAAATAAAATAAGAAGGATAGCACGATCTCCACGTGTTGCTACGTGGCTTATCGTCCTTGTGAAACAATGATAGAGAGTTTCACCGGACTCTTGCCGGTCGGACATCTATGTTGCCGTTCTCCAATCCCCGTTTCGCTTGATAACATTGTATTAAAAAAGCAAAAGAACATTTATCATATCAAAAAAATATATATTTATTTCTTACTTCTCTCTCTCCTCTCTTCTTCTCCATCGCTATTATGTTCTTCTACTTTTATCTTTTTTGTAACAAACATATAAACTACTCAAGGCTTATTAGAAAGATTGAGAATATAGATTGAGAGAAGCAAAGTTACCTTTTTATAGTTGAAGATACACCACCTTACACTAAAAGAATTTGCATTGATGGCTAGATCCTGGTTAATGGATGAACATGAAATCAGAGTGTTTCGGTTGATCGAAAGAAGTTCAAAATCCGTGATCAAAAGACGACTTTATACGGTTAACAGCCAAGGAGCGTATTAACCTTGGGCCACAAATACATAAAGCCCATATCATGTTAAACATAATAAAGGTAGTGTTTTTAACTATTGGACACATGTCATCTCGGGAGGAAGTGAATTTGTGACGTGGTAGAGTTGTAGAGAAGAAAAGTCTTCTTCATATAATTAGATTCTAACATGAATAATTTGTACACCATAATATTATTGATATTTACATGTTTATTATACAATGATTATATATCATATAAGGATGTTTAGGCCACCTATATAAAACATTATCAAATTTACTGGATTTGCTTAACTATTTATTATAGTATTTTCAGAGTATTTTTTGATTAAAACACTTAAATACTAACGGTCACAAAGAAAAATTTCAAGCTTTTTATCTTTTTAAAAAAAGTCTATGAACAGCATTTCATCTATAAATACACTTATATTTCTCTCATTCATTTCGTTCAAATATTTCATTTTCTCTCAAATAATTTTTAACTAATTTTCTCCTGATTTTCTCATACAAGAAAAATGATTTTATTATTTTTATTTTACGTGTGACTGTAATCTTTGCTTGTATATGTGATCGTTTTGGTGGAGAAATTACTGCAAAAAAAAGTTACCAGTAATATATGTTTACATTTATATACTATATTTTTTGCTTGTAATTGTTTGTATAATTAATGTAAATGGTTCATTTGAATTAAAATATTATTACTTTTCTTATAAAATTTATTATTTTTTATTTAGAAAATCAAATTACAAATATCGATTAACTTCAATTTTTATCTCTCGGAATAACTGGAGAAAATTACACAACGTTAATCACCAATATAAAACTTCATCTCAATTCAGAAAAAAATACTTGACATGATAAAGAAGAAAAAAAATCTTCTTCTTGCGATAAAACTAGAGATGAAATATTTTTGAGAAAAAATCTAAATAAAAATCTTATGCATGATCATGCAAGAACAATATCTTTAAACAAGAGGTTGATAACAAGAAAATAACTCTCCACATGCACATAATGAGTTATTTCTATTGTGATTTGGGTCCTGATCAAACCTCTCTTTTAGAGCTTTCCAAAGATCTAAGGGATATTTTGTTCTCACACAATCATGCATAACATTTTCATCTAAATGCTTTTTCGATAATATTAAACTTTGGCATTAAATTTTTCATGAGGAGGGGATTTTTTTCCTTCTTTTATCATGTCCAGTATGTTTTCTGAATCTAGATGAAGATCCATATTGGTGATCCATGTTATGTAATTTTCTCCAGTTACTTCGAGAGTTAGAAACTGGAGTTTCATTGTATTTTTCATTTGACTTTCTAAACAAAAATAAATAAATTTTATCAGAAAAGTATAATATTTTAATTCAAAATGATCTGTTTACATTATTCATAAAAGCAATTACGAGAAGAAATATCGCATAAAAAGTAAGCCGGTAGTTATCGTATAGTTTTATGGAGTAAATTTTCCATCAAAAAGGCTTACATATAAACAAAGATTACAATTGCACATATTGGTGGACCCAATTTCAGGTAATAACCAAATGGACCCAGGCTCATACGTCGCCGTTCGCAACTCGGCCCATATCGAACATGATGAGATCAAATTGCTGGCCCGAAGATCGTAGACAGTTGAAAATAATCGGCGAAGGACATGCTATAAAAGAAAGAGGAAGATAGATAACAAGACACGCACAAAAAACCCTAGAGTTTCTCACTACTTACATTGACCTCGTTGATAAACTTGTTTTTCGATCTCACTCTGTAACTTTCGATCTCAATTACTTCTTTGTATCAAATCTTATATCAATAAAGTCCATTTTTCTCTACTGAATTCTGATTATATCGTTGTGTTCTAAGAGCATCATTGCTCACATCATTTATCTTCTCTAGATTTAACTCTTAATCACTACAAAATACTTAGTGTGGATTTTATGATCTACACATATCATAAAAAATAACTGAATCATCTTTCTTGCTTGAAAAAATCTGGAGAAAATTATTTAAAAGTTTTGAGAGAAGATGAAGTGTTTGGATGAAGTGAATGAGTGAAAAATAAGTGTGTATAGATGAAAATATTTCTCATGGCCATTTGAAAAATGTAAAAAAATTGAAAGAAAAATCTTTGTGAGTGTTGGTATTAAAGTGTTTGAATCGAAAATCAGACTGAAATTATTGTAATAAACAGTTAATCAAATCAAATAAATTTCATTATATACTGTATAGGTAAACTAAACATTCTTATGGTGCTGAAATTATTCATGTTATAATATTAAATAAATTATGTGGTGGTTCAACCAAGTCAATATATTAATAACAAATGTGGTGTATTTAGAAATTATAGTATAACAACGAGTAAACCACCAGCATTAATATAAGACAAGAATGGTGTGGTAAAAAAAATCAGCATAAAATAATAATTAATAATATAGACTGTCTACCGGCTATTACATGTAATAGGATATATATTATATATATGAACTATACCGTATTAGAGATGACAATATATATAATAATATTTATAATTTATTTATAACTGAAAATAGAAAGAAAAACAGTTCTTAGAAGAATTAGATGTCTTCATGCACCATGTACGGAAATAAAATTTTAAAAATAAATTTTTATTATTTTTTATTATTTTTAGAATATTTAAATTTTATTTAACTCTATATAAAAATTAATATATTATTTTAAATTGAAATTTATATATGTATATATTTTAAATTAGAATATTGGAATTATTTTTAATCTATTTCTTTTGGTTAATATATATTAATTCAGATTCTATAAAATTAAGAGAAAATTTTGCTAGGTACATAACTATCAATGCGTGAAACAAATAATATTTCTGAAATTTGTAGATATTAAAAAAAAGTTCATGGTCGTGAGCTTAGAAATTTACAATTTAAAAAAAACTGCAAAAAAAATTGAAGAATTGTTTTAGAAATAAGAATATAACTATTATTATTAAATACTATTTCAAAAAAATAAAACTATTATTATATTTATGTTCTACTATTATTAATGATGATTTATGAACTATTGTAATTTTTTTTTTAAATTGTCAAAATTATAAATTAACATTAAATGTGAATGTTATGTCACAGTTAGGTTCAATTCATGTCATCATTTTTAATGTCTCGTCATCAGTTTTCTTTCAAAAACATTATGGTGATGACACTTGGCAAGTCATGTTTAGGGAATACGAGATACTATTACTACTGTATAAAATAAACACGAGAGATATAGTTTATTATAAGAATAGAAGTAGAAGAATGTATTGCAAATGATCGAAACAATCGTTTATCTATATTATTTAAACTGGAGTATTTTTTAATAATATTTGGAAATAAGGATAGCAGGATAAATAAAAATTGTTTGGAAACATAGATAGCAAATTGAATACTTTCTTTTATTTACACATTTATCCATTGCATTTATAATAAATTAATTACTTATTTTTGTATTTCTTTTTATTTACAGATTTTGCCATTGCATTTAAAACCAATTTAAATTAATTAATTACAATGTTTTTCTTTATTTGTGGTAAAAATAAAAACACAAACTGAAATATATAATATATATTATATAAAATATTGTTTAAATGTGGTATTACCATATTTAATTTAGTCAAATATAAATTTCGAGAGTTTAGTTTTAAAAAAAAAAATCAAAATATCATAAAATTAATGATAATTTATAGAAAACTAATGCAAAAAAATAATTTATAGTATGTTTCATTTTAAAATAAATTAACAATAAACAACATGTTAATATTTGAATAGTACAATTACATAAAATTGTATTAAGTTATCAAATATCTAATATAATATTATGTATAAATAAAAAATTATTATTAAACATTTATATTAAAAGATAATATATTCTACTCTATATGTGAATTACAAAACATAAAAAAATATATATTTTTTTATAAAATGAGTGATTTATGAATTTATGTTGAACACAAATTAAATCAAATAAATGGGTGAGAGTTTAGATCAAGTTCTAGTATAGAATTAAAAATGTAGAAGTTAATAATATACACGTTTCAGTGTAAACATGTTGGACGGAGCAAACCTGTCTTTTATAACACTTTTTAGTTTTTACATTACTATCTCTTCAACTATTGGATTAATTTTCTTCTCACATCAAGTGAAATATATTGTAAAATTCATTAGAACTTTTACTCGGAGATCTCTTTCTCATTCTTTCATATACAAAATATTAGTATTATTCTCTACATCTCATTCACAGCAACAACCGCTGTTTCAGAGCTCATTTTCTTCCTCCTCTCCATGAAACTTCCACCACATGATGAGAAACTAGGAAGACATCGATGATGCTGCCTATTGGACTTTTTCTTCTCTTCCTTCACACTAGCGTCTTTAATGGCAGCGTTGTTGAATTCGCCTGAGTTTGCACCAGAGAGGTAAGGAGAGTCTAAAGAGCTTTCCTGTGGTCGTTCTCTTATACTGTCTCTGAAAAGCTCACCAAGCTTCTTTCTCCTTGGTCTTGGCGCTGGAGAAGAGCCACGAGAAGATTTCTTGTCTTGGAATATTAGGCTTTGGACACGAGGATGCCTATCGGAGAAGCTGCACTTTGGAGTGTTTCCACGCGATGGAGTGAAATCTGAGTAAAAAGAAACAGAAACTATGAATATTGAACAACTAGGCCAATTATCAAACAAGATCTTTTGTGGTAAGAAAAACATTAATGAATGATTTTGTTTCAAAAAAATTGAATTAATGGAAGAATAATTTCGGATGCTGTTTTTTTTTGCCGATCACCGAACCACCACATGCTAATGTTCATACAAAAACATCAATTATTTCGATCGGACAATAACTAAAATTGAAACATCAGGACAAAGACCAATCATCAAGAAAGGTGAAACACTAATAAACAAATATATCAGGACATGAATATTAAAATATATATATATATTTACCGCCATTAACGCTGTGGAAATCATCGTCGGAGTCAGATTGTAGCCATTGCTGCGTATCGAAAAAGGTTTCATCTTTACTTCCTGTGGAACAAAATTAAAAGAATACATTTCAAAACTTTAGAACAAGAATGTGAGTCTCTGATTCATATACAGGTAATTAAGAACAAGAACGTAATGATTCAATCACCATCATAAGACATAATAGACCAAAACAGACAAGAAATACTAGTCTATCACTTAAAAACAGAGGAGATGAGAATCTGAAGATAATAAACCAATGCTTTAAGAAAAAGATTTATTATTTTTAAAATTGATATAAAACTACTAAAATAGACAACTTTATAAATCACAGTAAACCAACACAGCTCTCTGTCTTTTTCAAAATTTATCACGGGAAAGTCGTTGATTTTGACATAATTTTCTTTTAATGACATTAAATCTACAGTGGAAAAAATCAAATCAAAGATATGATCTTATCAGATAAGAACGAATCAACTAATAACCAAAAAGTCTATCTCTATCAACATAGAAGAAAATCAAATTGATTTAGAAAACCATTAATGAGTTTTTTTTTTAAATATGAAATAATGGACGAATAATTTCAGATGCTGTTTTTTCTTTCCGATCACCGAACCACCACATGCCAACGTTCATAAAAAACATCAATTATTCTGATCGGACAATAACTAAAACTGAACCATCCGACAAAGACCAATCATCCAGAAAGCTGTAACACTAATCATACAAACATATCAGGACATGAATAATTCCAAAAAACATTAAGAGAGTTTTTGAGTTCAATACCGAAGCTTTTCTTAGAAGAAGAAAACGACCACCGAGATTTAACAGCCGGAGAAGCCACCGGAATCGATGTTGCACTCTTTCTCGGCGATTCTGAAAATTGAATTAAATGAATGCACATATAATCAATATTTTTTAATATAATAGTATATAATATGAGAAACCCTACATCACAGTCAGATTCAATATCATCATGAACAGATCATATATTAGACTTATTAAACTGAATAAAAAATTCTGAAGATCAAAGAAAATTACCGAAGGTTTTCTTGGTAGAAGGAGGCGAATTAGATACGATCGAGACGACGGCGTCGTTTTTCTCCACTGAGTTAATATGTTTCGTGGGAGACTCAGGTGTTACCATATTATCTGTTCTACACGGAGACTTGTTAAGCGACGACGAAGACGAACCCATTCTCCGGCGTCGACTTATGTGAATAAATAAAAGAGTAGAGAAACTTTCTCGAGGGAAATAAAAACAACTTTCTCTAGGTTTTATGTTTTTGTTTTGGTAAATAGTCTTAGAGAGATGTGACTATTATACTATATGATATGTTCCTAATTATATTTGTTTCATCGGGGAAGTGGTGGTCCCACACGTACACGGTGCCCACTCCGTAAAGAGAAAACGGTGCCGTTCGTGTGGGTGACTTTTGGGAATTGACGTGGCAATGTAAATCTCTAATAAAAATTTATTTTTGGATTCACATGTGAATTTCTAGATTTACTACTAGTTTAATAGCCTATTAAAATTTGACAACTTATTTATATTTATAAAAAAGGTAGATAATAATCATAAATAACATTAATTATCAAAAAAATTAACGTTGTTAATGTCCTCACAAAAATCCTTAACACTAAACACTAAATCCTAAATGTTATCGGCGAAATTGTAAATCATATATCATAAGGTTTAAGATTTTTATCTAAAGATTTAGGGTTTAGTGATTGGGATTTAGAATTAAAATTTTTGTATGAGTTAGGAATTAGGGTCAGCAAAACCATAGACTCTATATTTTAGGATTTATCTAAAATTTTAAGATTTATCCAAGAATTTAAGATTTAAGGATCTAATTATATAAAGGAGAGTTATCTCCCTCCTAAAAGCTTCCATGTCACTAAATAACTCTCTGAAAGCGTGACATGTGTTCATTTATCAAAGTTATGCGTTACGTTTGTGACAAGAAAAATAAATTATTGGATTTTCCGTTTTATCTTATGGAATTCAGCCCACTAACAAGAGGTTCCGTATGTCTTCATCAACTAACAAGAGGCTCCTTATGGAATTGATTCTTTCGAGAAGTAAGCTATTGAGTTTACTTCGAGAAATGTAGCTGTCATTTAACTGATGGTATTGGTTCATAATTTGCTTGCAAACAACTAAATCTATGTGATATAATTTCATCGCATACTCCATAAGAAAGTATAATGTTTAAAATATTACATAAACTCACAATTCTTATTTTTTTTGTCAACTTAAACTCATAATTGAGATATAAATAAGTCACAATATTTTTTTCTTTTTGAAGAACTCAACAATATCTCCTTTTATCGTGATGCAATTCGTATCACCCCCGTAAGTAATAATGTTATCTCTTTAAATAATTATATATTTATGTTTCTAGCAATTCTCTTCTACTGAGATTATAATACTAAAACATGGAGTACTAATGTGGATTCTTAAAAAACGCATTTATACAATTTATATTAATAATAATATATCACTAATATTTTGCCAAACAATAAAGTTATTGGACTTATACAGATTAATTTGATACCGAAAAACCAGACCGCATCAAAACTGAAATAAAAATTGAATCAAATTCCATAAAAATCTAAATGGTTCATTATATATATTTAAAATAGAAATGGCATAACCGAACCAGAATTAAACCAAATACCGCATAGGTATTCAGTATTTAAAAATACAAGTTATATACCTAAAAGTACTAATTATATTGAAAAACTAAATAATCAAATATCCTATAATTACTATAAACTGAATTATCTGGATAATATTTTTTATCCATATCACTCAGTATTTTTATCCGAAGAACACGAATTAACTTACATGTAAACTAAACATATGGAATTATCTAATATTTTTACATATATTATCTGAAAGTGTCCAAAAAACTAGAACCGGACCTAAATTGTTTTGGCTATTAGAAGGTTTCCAACTTTGCTATCTCAACCAAAAAAAAAATCGAATTTTGTATATATATAGTTCCTAAATTTCTAAAAAAAAAATAAAAAAATCAAGAACCGAAATACATTAACCAAAACTTTAAAGAAAGCCAAAACCATTCTCACAATCAGTACATCCAAATGTTAATAAAAAACAAAAAAAAAAAACAATATTATACAATAAATAGTTTGACTAAAATAACAAATAATAATCAATGTACAATATCCCGCCCGTAGGGCGGACCAATCCTAGTTAGAATTAAAGTTTAGTTTTTTTATTATTTAGGGTTTAAGGTTTTGCAGACGGTACTAATAATGATAAAAAAAATAGTTTACTTATAGTTACTATTATTTTTTATTTGTTGTTACTTTTTTATTTTACAACATAATATGATCAGATAAATTTTTATTAGATATTATATCTGTTAGTTTTCTTTTTAACATCATTAGATATTATGTTAGTAGTGAACCTCTACAATGATTATGTATTTTCAGTTTCTTTAGTCGATGAATACGTATTTTTATATTAGAAAACAATATAATTCAGAATTTTTCACTTTATTATTTATTTATTATGAAATTGGCTGGTTGATTCAGTTGGCATTAAGTGATCATGACCGAATCTAGGTAAAATTCAATGAATTTTTAGTTTTCATTTTCCAATTTTTAAAACTATTATAAAAAGACATAGATTTTCATTTTTTTTTAAAAAAAATTTATATATTACTTAACTAGGTGTTTTGCCAACATTTGCGGGCATAATTTTCTTATGAATATTTATTAGTTGATATTTATGTTTTTAAAAAGTACAAATCAAAAATCAAATAATTATAAATGACAAAATGCAAACATCAGAAATATTTTTTTTAAATATATTTCTATAGTTATTTTTCTTCATTTATATTTAATTATAATACTTATACGAATATTTTTACTTAGTTTATATTTCATTATAATTTTTATATCTTGATTTTAAAATTTATAATAGAAAAACATATTTTGAAGACAACAATATAATGCATAATTTACTTATTTTTAAAAAATATAATATGATAAATTCGTTTTAATTATTTAATAGTTATATAAAAATAGAGAAATAATGACATATAATTAAAATTATTTAAAATCATGGACAACTTAACAAATCAGCAAATTCACTTTTTAAATAATTTTGCTTGAGTGATGATTTCTATTTAATTAATAATGGATAATTTCTAATTTACTTCTAAATTATATAATATAAAAATATATTTTCGAGATGACAACATAATACATAAGAATTACCTTATTTTCTAAAAGTATAATATTATTAGTCTAAATTTATTTTAATTATGGAATAACTACAAAATTGTATATTGTAATTTTAAATTTCAAATAGAAAATTATATTTTCAAGACAACAACATAATATATAAGAAGTATCTTATTTTGTAAAAATCTGATACTATTAATATAATTTTTTAAAAAATATATAATAAATTATATATAAAATAACTTAAATTATGATAAATTATCAAAGCTACATAAAATCATGGAAAATATGACAAATCAGCAAACATCAAATTCACTTCTTAAATAATAGTATAGATTTTTAAATGTTAATTTTAAATTTTAAAATAAAATTATATTTTCAAGATAAAAACATAATACATACGAATTAACTTATTTTCTAAAATATCATATTATTAATATAAATTAGTTTTAATTATATAATCAATAATAAACAAAATTAAAGAAATTATGATAAATGCTTAAAATTACCTAGGATCATAGAGAAGTTGATAAATCAACAAATTCACTTTTCAAATAATTGTTTTGATAATTCATATTAATTATTACTCATATAACTTTTATATCTTAATTTTAACTTTTATAATAAATAATATATTTTCAACATAACAACATAATACATAAGAATTATCTTATTTTAGAAAATATAAATTATTAATATAAATTCGTTTTAGTTATATAATAAATATAATAATTTCGAAATTTAAAATTTAAGTTTTATATATAAAAATATAGTAAAAGATGATAACATAATTCATAAGAATTATCTTATTTTCTAAAAATATGATATATTCATATAAGTTCGTTTTATTTATAAATAAATTATAGATAAATATTAAAATATGAGAAATAAAAAAATTACCTACCTTATGAGAATATGACAACTAAGCAAATTTACTTCTTAAATAATAGTATAGATTGTAACATATGAATTATATCACGACTCATCATTAAAAGGACTTTTAAACTCTTTAGAGAAATATGTTAGTCTATCTAGGCATATATTGTATTTTGGAGGATTTACCGAATATGACTCAAAACTTGATTTCAAATACAAAAGTGTATCCAAACTCAAATTAAGTGCAAAAATAACTCAAAAAGTTTGTGAAATTACAAACATCCCATCATGACCAAACAAAAAAAAAACAGGATTGTAGTTTGTCATTATAACTTTGCAAGTGAGAAGACTTTCAGATAAGTTTTCTCTACCTCAAAGTCTTCTCATGCTGTAGATCTAAAAAATAATTTATAAATTTATGAAAAATTATTTTGGCTAGTAAAAAATCCTAATCGTGTAATTATTGACATTTATAAATAATGTAAATATATATTTAATAAAAATGAATAGTTTTCAAGATAGATGAGTGAATATAAGTTTGTCATGATATTCTTTGGTTTAAGGTTTGGTAACTATGTTGTAGTATTGTATGTGTTTTTAGAGTTAGATTGTGGAATCTTAAATTTTTTTAAAAAAAGTAAAATTTAGCTATATGTATTTAATTTTCTGTAGATTAAACACTTTATAAGTTTAATTTAGTTTGATAAAGTTGTTGTATGTGATTTAGTTATATATATTTGACCTATTTGATTTTGGGGTTTTGGAAGACTTATGAAGACTAATAACAGTTTACCGCTCAAAATTTAGATTTCCCACTTAAAATTCTAAAAAAAATTAGGTTTCCCACTTAAAATTAAGTTTTCCAATGTCTTCCACAGAAAGTTTCCTAGTGTATAAGTTCTTAAAATAATTTATAAATTTCATAAAAAATATTTTGATAGGAGAAAATCATAATCAACTAATTATAGACATTTGAAAGTGATATAAATTTAGAATTAATAAAACTGATTTTTTTTTCAACATAGAAGAGTGAATGTAACAAAGCATTGATATTCTTTGGTTTAGGGTTTAGTAACTATGTTGTAGTATTGTCGATGTTTTTAGGGTTATATTGTTGAATCTTAACATTTTTTTTAAAAAAAAAGTAGATTTTAGCTTTATGTGTTTAGTTTTGTGTAGTTTAAA